AATAATAATAATAATAATAGTAATAATAATAATAATAATTATAATAAGGTATATTGTCTATATGATTTACTACCGTTATAGTAATAAAATATAATAGTGCTTCAGTATGAATTCGATATACTACCTTATATATTGACAATAAATATGATTAGGTACACTGTCATTACAGCATCATATTATTATACTAATAAAATATGATAACGTTTCAGTATGAAATTGATGTCTTATGATACATGTTAATAATAATAATAACAATTAGGTATATATTCATTATAATTTCATACTGTAATAATAACAAAATATAACAGTGTTTCAGTATGTAATTGGTATGTTACGTTATAGGTTAATAATAATAATAATTAGATACATTGTCGTTGCAGTACCATCTTATTATAATAATAACATATACAATAATTTGTGCATCAGTGTGAAATTTATATATTACGTTACACGTTAATAATAATCAGAATAATAATTAAGTACACTATCGTTATGATTTTCTATTGCTATAGTAACAAAATTTAATACTGTTTCATCATGAAATTTGCATTACACGTTACATGCTAGTATAATAATAACAATAATTACATGCATTGTCGCTGTAATTCCATCTTATGATAATAATTAAATATAACAGTCTTTCAGTATGAAATAGATATATTACCTTACATGTTAAAAGTACCTTAATAATGATTAAGTGGATTGTCATTATATCATCACATTATTATACTAATCAAATATGATAGCGTTTCAATACGTAATTAATATATTACGTTATACGTGTAAAATTTACATATTATACGTCAATAATAATCATAAAAATAATTAAGTATACTGTCACTATGACTTCCTATTGTTATAGTAATAAAATATAATAATATTTCACTATGAAATTTGCATGACACGTTACATATTAGTATAATAATAATAATAATTAGATGCATTGTTGTTATAATTTCATCTTATTTTTCAGCATGAAATCGATATATTACCTTATATGTCATATTATAATGTCAATGTAAATAAATATTATTATTATAACACGATAATAACAGATGGGATAGAAAATAATTTCTTACGAAACAATTTCAGAAATTGAAGACGGATATTATAATGGAATTAAAAAGAATTTCGAAAACCACCAATACGAGATGATTTTCTATCGTTAGCACTGTAAGGAATTCAGTGGAGAAACCACGCATCGGGCAGCCTTGTTTCGAAGTGTAATCGCGGCGGTCTCGTACTTTCTGGTAATTACTCGTAATGTAAATCTCCAAGAGTTGACACACATCAGACGCGACGCAACTCGGAATCTTGGCTTGTTTACAGAAATCTCAATTACCGCTTGTCAAGGCGTGACTTTTCGCCGGCTCGGATTTAATTAGATTAATTAGCGTCGCGATGCGTTTACTCGGATCACATTTTATGCAACGGGACGAACGTTTTATGGTGACGCGTTCTGCACCCGGAGTATTTGCTTCTGCATAGTAGATGTTTATGACAGTGAATATCGCGCGTTGAGAAAGTATTTTTCCAAATCTTTTCCCTGGGAATAAATTATTTCCGAGGCAGGGAGATTCTGGAGGACGTAAAGAAATAATTTTAATGGACGTAAATAATAATAGTAGTTATAATTACTTTTATAGTAATCCTACGATGCAAAATTATAATTCAGTAGCACCAGAATAATATTTATAAACAATAATCTTAATTTTGATAGATAGGCCCTTGATTATATAATTTTCTACTTCTTTTTATTAATATTATTATAGTGAACCCCTTAGAAACTCACAGCACATGATACAATTTAAAAATCAACAAAAAGGGAAATTATATGAAATTATTTGAAGAGGAATTATTTAATAACAAAGATGCAGATTATTTGAACACTCTTCATAATTTTCTTTATTATAATATTTATTATTATATTTTATTATAGTATATATATATTTTTAAGAAAGTTAATTTGATAGAAAAATTAAAAATTAATAATTTATCTCGTTAGATATTGTTATTTAATATTTCTGAAATTTTATGAAGAGATACGTAAGACATTTTATTATGGCTCTTCCTTGTTACATCAATTACATTGTAGTTTATAATTATTAACTGTATTGTGTGGTAATGGTTAATATAGATTTTGAACATATATGTGTTGATATAATAAAGGAGCGATGTCTGGGACAAGTATGCATGGGATACCAATATCTAATGGTTTCAGGTTATCATGATAAACGAGTATGCGTGTAATGATCGAGGTGTTGCGTGAATTGTGTATGTTCGTGTAATGTATGAAAGTAGAAAGAACGAACCAGAGAGATTGGGCATATATTAGTTCTAATTGAATTGTAATAGCAAAACTAGGTGTGAGCATGTAATTGCGAGAAATTAATTAGTTAATATTCATTTATTATATTTTATTTCAATATTGTATTTTAACTTAATATTTGCATTTGATCATTTATTTGTAATTAAATAAAGAATTCTTCTCATTGTTATTAATATTTCATCCACCACTAACATATTGTCAAATATAACATAACTGTCGAATAACTAACATAATAAATTAACATAACTGTCAAATTAAATTGAAATAATTTAAATTAAATTAATATATATTAATTAACAATTAAATTAATATAACTGTCAAATATATAATAATAATAATAATAATAATCATTTATTGCTATATTTATTTGTATGTACCATGTACGAGAACGCAACGAAAAGTTTGTATATTGCAGCAACAAATTGGAATAGGTTTGCTACACGATTGCAGTTGAAAAATAACAATCGTGAGACTTTTCTGCGAAACTGAGAAATGTTTTTGATACGTGTTGCGTTTAAAAAAATCATTTCTTGTGACATCGCTTAAGCCGCAATTTATTCGCGTGATTTATGGCAGCAATTTCATATGCGTTTTATACAAAAACCAATTTGTTACGTGACTACGATTGCTTTTATTCGCGGATTTCCCAATTTTGTCATTCGCTTTAAATAAAACATGGTTGCAAAAATGGAACAGCGAGGAAACGTTTTATTACACTAACCAGATATTATTGGAATTTTTCTGTCGATATTCCAAGATTCACCTTCAGGGCGAATCCACATTTTTTAAATAATCGAATTTCTGTATTTGTTATTTAAACAAAATATCGCGTAATTGGTGATATATGAGAATATAAAAAATATCTTTCCGTTCCAGGCTCGACTTTTAAAAATGTCTGGTTTGGAAATTCATTAAACGTGCTTGCATTCGTGTGTATTAAATAACAAATATAATAGTAATAATAACAACGTTTTATGTTACAATGTATTTTATAGCCAAAATATTTTATTATACACTTATCCATGTTTACAAATTAAATTCGTGTTATTAATTATGGAAATTTGCAATCAATTGAGTCTCATTGAATAAATAGTAATTCTTGTTAAGTAGAAATTTTACAAACTTTCAATTTTCTTAAAAACGCAATTTAATAATCACGAAAAAATTTTAACGTTTTCATGTCACATACACGTAAATTAATTTTTAAGATTGGAAACTTGGACTTGGTT